AGGCACCTGGTGGCTCACACCTGTAATTTTAGCACTTTGGGAGGCTGAGGTGGGCAGATCACAAGGTCAGGAGTTCAAGACTAGCCTGGTTAACATAATGAAGCCCCAACTCTACTAAAATTACGAAAAATTAGCCAAGCATGGTGGCAGACGCCTGTAATCCCAGCTACTTGGGAGGCTGAGGTAGCAGAATCTCTTGAACCAGAAAGGCAGAGGTTGTAGTGAACCGAGATCATGCCACTGAGACTCTGTCTCAAAAAATAATAATAATAATAATTCGAATATAGGCATGCAACACATAATGATATATAGGTCAACAACAAACCAAATACACTAAGGTGGTGCCATAATCACACTGGAGCTGAAAAATTTCTATCTCCTAGTGAAGTTGTAGCCATCTTAATGCTGTAGTGCAACATGTTACTTGTGTTTGTGGTGATGCTGGTATAAACAAGCCTACCGTGCTGCCAGTCATATAAAAGTATAGCACATTCAATTATGTACAGCACATATTTGATAATAATAAATGGTGATGTTACTAGTTTAAGCGTTTACTATACTATACTTTTTATCATCATTGTAGAGTGTACGCCTTCTATTTTTCTTTTTTTTTTTTTTTTTTTTTTTTTTTTTTTTTTTTTTTTTTTTTTTGGAGACATAGTTTCACTCTGCTCACCAAGCTGGGGTAGAATGGTGTGATCTTGGCTCACTGCAACCTCCACTTCCCAGGTTTAAGTGATTCTTGTGTCTCAACCTTCCCAGAAGCTGGGATTACAGGCATGTGCCACCATGCCCGGCTAATTTTTTTTATTTTTTGTAGAGATGGGGTTTCACCATGTTGGCCAGGCTGGTCTCAAAACTCTTGACCTCAGGTGATCCTCCTGCCTTGGCCCCCCAAAGTGCTGGGATTACAGGTGTGAGCCACTGAGCCCAGCCAACTCCTTGTATTAAAAAAAAAAAAAAAAAAAAAAAGTTAATTATGAACCAGCCTCAGGCAGGTCCCTCAGGAGGTATTCTAGAAGAAGGCACTGTTACTGTGAGAGATGATGGCCAGGTGAGGTAGCTCAGGCCGGGCACAGTGGCTCTCACATTTGTAATCCCAGAACCTTGGGCCAGATCACCTGACGTCAGGAGTTCAAGACCAGCCTGGCCAACATGATAAAACCCTGTCTCTACTAAAAATATAAAAATTAGAGTCTCAGCTACCCAGGAGGCTGAGGCAGGAGAACTGCTTGAACCCAGTAGGTGGAGGTTGCAGTGAGCGGAGATTGCACCACTGCACTCCAGCCTGAGTGACAGAGTAAGACTCCATCTCAAAAAAAGAAAAAGAAAAAAAAAGAAGTGACAGCTTTATGCATGTTATATAGCCCCTGAAGACCTTCCAGTGGGACAAGGTGTGGAAGTGGGAAACAGTGATACTGTGGTCTGGACTGTAGGCCTAGGTTAATGTGTGTGTTGGTGACTTTGTTTTTAACAAAAAAGTTTAAAAGTTTAAAAAAAAAAATTTCAAAATAGAAAATCGCTTATAAAATAAATGAAAGAAAATATTTGTGTACAGCTGTACAAAGTGTTGATGTTTGAAGATATGCTGATGTTTTAAGTTATTACGATTGAATGAAAAACTTTTAAAAATTTAAAAGTTGGCTGGCTGCAGTGGCTCACACCTGTAATTCCAGCACTTTCGGAGGCCCAGGCAAGTGGATCAAGGTTGAGGTTGAGGAGTTCAAGACTGGCCTGACCAACATGAAGAAACCCTGTCTCTACTAAAAATACAAAAATTAGCCAGACATGGTGGCACATGCCTGTAACCCAGCTACTTGGGAGACTGAGGCGAGAATTGCTTTAACCTGGGAGTTGGAGGTTGCAGTGAGCCGAGATCATGCCATTGCACTCCAGCCTGGTCAACAAGAGGTGAAGGAGGGAAGGAAGAGAAGGAGGAAGGAAGGGGAAGGAGGAAGGGGAAGAAGGAAGAAGAAGGAAGGAAGGGAGGGAGGGGAAGAAGGAAGAAGAAGGAAGAAAGGAAGGAAGGGAGGGAGGGAGGCATAGAGGGAGGGACTTCTTTAAGTTTAGTGTAGCCTAAGGACATAGTGTTTATAAAGTCTACAGTAGGGTACAAGAGTGTCCTAGCCTTCACATTCACTCACCACTTACACACTCACCCAGAGCAACTTCCAGTCCTACAAGGTCCATTCACACTAAGGGTCCTATGCAAGTGTACCATTTTCTATTTTTTTTTTTTTTTAAAGATGAGATCTCATTGTGTTGCCTAGGCTGGTCTTGAAACTCCTAGGCATAAGCAACCCTAATGACTCAGCCTCCCAAGTAGTTGGCACTAACTGACACGTACCATCCCACACTGCTTTATTTTTTTTTATCTTTTACACGGTATTTTTACTGTACGTTTTCTAGGTTTAAATATTTACCACTGCATTACAATTGCCTGCAGTATTCAGCACAGTAACATGATGTACAGGTTCACAGCCTCAGAGCAATAGGCTATGCCGTACAGTAGCCTAGGCCTGTAGTAGGCTATGATGTTCACACAAAGATTAAACTACCTAACAGGCATTTCTCAGAACACATCCCCTTGATTAAGCAAGGCAGGACTACACTAAGTCAATGTCCCTGAACCAAGGCCTCCCATCAGCATTTCAGGACAAATCCTGCAGCAACCAGGACTTGAGGAAATTCTTGATTTTCAAGCTCAGAGTAACCAAGACTTTGAAAATATCACTGTATCCAGGTACCATAAGGACCATAAAATTATGGACAATCTGGGCAAGCTTTTAGAAGAAGGAAGTAGGCTGGGGTAAGTTCCAAATAAAAAGTCCTTTTGCTGGGCGTGGTGGCTCATGCCTGTAATCCCAGCACTTGGGGAAGCCAAGATGGGCAGATTGCCTGAGATCAGGAGTTCGAGACCCGTCTGGCCCACATGGTGAAACCTCATCTCTACTGAAAATACAAAAAAATTAGCCAGACATGGTGGCGTGTACCTGTAATTCCCACTACTCGGGAGGCTGAGGCAGGGGAATGGCTTGAACCAGGGAGGTAGAGATTGCAGTGAGCCAAGATCGTGCCACTGCACTCCTGCCTGGGCAACAGAGCGAGACTGTCTCCAAAACAAAAGTCCTTTCACTGGAGGGTTTTCGAGGTGATCCTGGTCCAGGTACCTAAGGAAGCTGTGAACCTGGCTAAAATATTTCTCCCTAAACTCATAACCTGTTCCTATAATCCTCAACTAACTCTTGACAGATTCAGAGCTGGCAAGTCTGCAAGCATAGCTGGCCTTTTTTTGCCCAGGCTGGAGTGCAGTGGCATGATCTCAGCTCACTGCAACCTCCACCTCCCAGGTTCAAGTGATTCTCCTGCCTCAGCCTCCCAAGTAGAGTAGCTGGGATTACAGGTGCCTGCCACCACATCCGGCTAATTTTTCTATTTTTAGTAGAGACAGGTTTCGCCATGTTGGCCAGGCTGGTCTCACTCCTGACCTCAGGTGATCCAGCCCATCTCAGCCTCCCAAAATGCTGGGATTACAGGCGTGAGTCACCACACCCGGCCATAGCTGGCCTTTTAAGAACATCCTGACTTTCTAAAATTATGGAATAGTAGACCAAGGAGACATGCTATGTGGTTATCTAATCGTGACCCTCATTTTAAAGGTTAGTAAATTTGTCTTGTTCGAGGACCATAATAAAGACTATTAAAAGCAGGACTGGTCCAGTGGCTCGCACATGTAATCCCAGCACTTTGAGAGGCCAAGGTAGAAAGATCGCTTGAGACCAGCCTGGGCAACATAGCGAAATTTCATCTCTATAAATTTATTTTTTTTATTAGCTGGGTGTGCTGGTGCATGCCATGGTCCCAGCTACTCAGGAGGCTGAGGCAGGAAGATCACTTAAACCCAGGAGTTCAGGGTGACAGTGAGCCATATTATGCCACTGCATTCCAGTCTGAGCAACAGAGCGAGATACTGTCTCAAAAATAAATAAATACACCAACCAAAGAAACAAGGTTGTTAAAAACAAATTAGAGGCCTCCTGATTTCTAGGGCAATATCGTCTTCACTGTACCACACTTAAGAAAAAACAGCTTACTAGAGAAAGCTCCTTTTGAGAACTTGAAAACTAATAAAAATCAGTAACAACAAAAATTTAGAACACAGGCTCTGCCTGAAGGCTCCCCAGCACGCTTTTCAGAGCTTCATACAGTTTTTCTGATATTAGGTGATCAAAAATACTAACAGAAATGCAGGCCGGGCGCAGTGGCTCACGCCTGAAATCCCAGCACTTTGGGAGGCTGAAGCAGGTGGATCACCTGAGGTCAGGAGTTTGAGACCCGCCTGACCAACATGGAGAAACCCCCTCTCTACTAAAACTACAAAATTCGCCAGGCATAGTGATGCAACCCTTAATCCCAGCTACTCGGGAAGCTGAGGCAGGAGAATTGCTTCTACCCAGGAGGCAGAGGTTCCAGCGAGCAGAGATCGCACCATTGCACTGCAGCCACCTGGGCAACAAGAGTAAAACTCTGTCTCAAAAAAAAAAAGGAAAGAAATGCAATGTAACGTGTAACTCTTCCTATGAGAAGAATTTTTTTAAGAGTGGCTTAGCATTCCACTATTCCGATGTTCTATATTTTGTGTAATCAATTCCTTCTTACTGGATATCTAAGCTATTTCTCTTTTCTATTATTCACCTACTGGATTGTAAATCGGTAATGAGCTAGAAAGCTTTACATTCATCCAATTTAGAGGACTGTCAAAAAACAATAAAGGACAAAGAAAGCAATGCCACCCATAAGGTCATCAGAATTTTTTTTAAAAAGGGAAAAATTCTACAAAACAGCAATTACACCACAAATAAAATAACTGCCCTTTTAGAATACAACAAATTCTGTAACTACTCCACAAGCCAACCATTTCTTCCTCTCCATCCCTCCTTATTCAACTATTAGATATAATCTTGACTAAATGGCCATGCTGATTCACAATGAAAAGTTACCTGCATTTAAAATACACAGTCCCTTCGTGGCTCCCATCATGCTTTCCTCTTTCGGGATTGTCCCATTCTACTCCTAACCAGGGTCCTAGCAGAACAAGAGAAACCAAATGAGTAACAGATGATGATACATTTTTCTGCAAGCAAATACCAATCAACAATGGAAACCATATCACACAGACACCACTTGAGGAGGACAAGATGGCTTTGGGAATCGACAAGTTAGCCTTACACTCAGCACTTCAATCAGCAAACAAAATAGCATGTCTGGGTGAAAAAGCCAACAAAAACCACCACTGCAGAAAACAAAAATGGCTCAAATTTATTGAGCACACTGAACAAGATTGACCCTTAAAGACATTACGCTAAGAGAAATAAGCCACCACAAAAGGACAAACACTGTATTCCACCTATATGTGATTCCCAGGGTAGTTACCACTAAGCTGTACATTCAAAACTGGTTCAGATGGTAAATTTTATGTTATGTGTATTTTACAATTTAAAATTTTAAATTAACAAGCGGTTAAAATGGCAAACTTTATGTTATATATGTAGCCACAATAAA